CATCGTATCTTCTTCCGTCATCGTGTCTGCTTCGGTCACCAGGCCCGCTTCGATCATCGTGTCTACTTCGATCATCATGCCTGCTGCCTTCATCGTATCTTCTTCCGTCATCATGTCTGCTTCGGTCATCATGCCTGCTGCCTCCATCGTACCGACCGGCACTGTAACCCCCGTTCTCCTTCCTGCGGTCGTAGTGGCTCTTGTAATAGCCGCCTCCACCTCCACCTCTTTGGTAATTATTTGAGGGGAAACTCCTTGACCGGGAGTGATCAACGTGTCTCTTTCTGTACGTGTCCTTTGAGTAGAAAGTCTCTCTTCTGTTGTTGTAGCCACTTGCGTCCCTGGTCGGGTCATTATCGCCTTTATCCTTATCATTTTTGACATCCTTATCTGCAAAAAAAAGAAAAAAAAAAAAAAGGGAAAAAATTGCAGTAGCGCGCGAACAAAGTGTGTGTTTGGTGCACGTGGGGAATGCGGACAGCACCGCACAGAGCGACACTTGTCCCACCGGGTACGAACCTACTATCTTCCTCTTCTTCTTCCGACCAAACTCATCATACTCTTCGTCGTCCGAGTCATGGACTCTCTTTTCGTTACTTCCCTGAATGTCGTAGTGGCCTCCACCTTTGCCAGTCCGTACTTCTTTACTCCACTTGGGGTCGCTTCCCTTTTTTTGGAACTTCGCCTTACTACACATGTTACATTTTTCTCTCTTGGCCCAATTAATGTTGCCGCATTCGTCACACTTCCAATCGTTCGCTTTGAAAAGCACCTGTTTGGGATTTCTTTTCACTGCGGGGTAGCGGGCGCCGCGAGTTGGGAAGCGGGGGAAATGGGTGCGGCGTTGAGTGTAGTGGTGTGAAAAGTGACGCGATAAGTGATCCGCTAAGTGATGCCACAAGAGTTCCGCTAAATGATCCGCTAAGTGATGCCCATTTCGAAGCTCCCTTCCACGTGGCAGACGAAGCGGCGACGGGGGATGGTGAGGGTCAGTACACGAGACACCTATTCACATTACTCATGGTGCATCACCAGTGTGCCATTTTAAAATCATTACTTGTGCTTTTTGGCCTGACTCTGTTGCATCGGTTACAGTGTGTTCTCTGAGCCGAGTTTACAATCCCGCATCTTTAAAAATAATGTTGATGAAATGCGTTTCTTCATTTTTTGCGTGCAGTAAAGGTGTGCGCTATGCACAGCGATGGTTTACGCAGCTACGTACCTATATGTAACTGCACGCGTGTATGCCCCCCCTTGACATTCCCGGGGTGTTGTGCCCGATTGGGCGTGCACCACGAAAGGGACAAGCGGGAGCGCTTAGCCATGGCCAGAGATAGCTAGACGCAACAATGCATTCTTCGCGACCCATAGACCTGCTCGGAAGCAGCGAAGGGGTTGAAAAAATTTGACATTACTTTTCGTCCGAGCATATCCAGTCCCCCGTTAGTTCGTTGTCTGCAGGAAGGGGGAGGCGGCAAGGTGAGGAAGCCGCAAAAAAAAGGGGATACAAAAAAAAGGTTTTCCTAATGCACAAATGGGAGTAGCCAACAATTGCGCAACAACGAATGACAACATTTGAATTTGCAAAAATTTGCGAACAGCATTGCAGACGGGGTGAAAGAAAATGCTAAGAAAGGAAGAGTGCCACGTGCGGGGGACACACTGAGAGATACCAACTGTGAGAAACAACACCATACGCACATCAAAATTGTTTTAATGGGCTAACCTATGTACTTTCGATTATCCATCCTATTCTTTGCTTCATTTACGTTCTACGTCCCTTCGGTCTACTACTCCAGTTTGCTTCTTCGTCTGAGTAAGAATTTTTTTTTTTTTCTCTCTCTCCTTTGGGACTTGTTTGCCTTTAAAAGGGTGTATATAACATGGGTGGCTCACAACCGTTTCAATCGCAGGGGTAAAAAATTAAGTCGCGATTTGTTCATGGGTTCGTTAAAATGGGAAAAGCGGTGCACACGGTTGGAACGGGCGGGTACAAACAAATAAAAACATAAACACAGGCATAGGCATAAACATGAACACAAACATAAGCAGAAACATAAACACAAACATAAACATTCATATGACGCCAAAGCGGCTGCTATCCCTTCTCCGGAGGGATACTGTCGCCAGTAAAAATTCAATTTGACGTAGTACATTCACATGAGGGCCTCGACTGATGCAGGGGGGGATGCCAATTTCTGGTACTCCCTGTGCGACTTATTCGCATTGCCTGTGACGTGCCACTTCTAACTGGTAACTGCTGCCTTCCTCCTTTCCACTTGTTCCGTCGCGTTTTTTTTTTTTTTTTTTTTTCCTACTAGTGCCACTAGAATGAGCACTATATTTAAGGCTTTGAAAATCCGGATTATCATTTCGGGCGGTGGAGAAAAAAATGTGCCTAATGGGGTCCACCCACCCCCGAACGTTGGTGCACCAAAATTAGTACAAAACAATTCTAATTGGAAGGACAAAAAGAAGGAAAAAAAAAAAAAAAAAAAACGCCTCCCTTTAGCAAACTGCAAAGGGATTCCTCCAATAAAATCTTCCTACATTAGGTGTGTCATTAGATGGCAGGTTCCCCAACGAGGTGTTGTTACTTCTCCTTTTTTTTTTCTCTCTTGCCAACACTTTAGCCATTTTTTTACAATTCGTACCCTTTGGTGTCATTTTTTTCTTCTCCATGTGGTAACTTCCCCTCTGTTTGGGCATTCGAAAAAAAGAAAATAGATAAAATTTGCAAAGACGTTGGCAAGTATCTCATTTATGTCAGAAGGGGGTGTTAAATGATGCGGATAGATCCCGTAGGATCGGATGGGGTGATGGGGATGCCCCCCTGCGTGCGCCGATAGGTACACCAGAAAAACATCCGTCTGCATAGGCACCAGCAAACACTACGTGTGATGAAAGCAGGAACAAGTTTCCATTACAACCATCCACCATATTTCTACAAAAGGGAGCGTTGCCAACCTACAGTGGGGTGGGTGGATCCCCAATTCGACAGCATTGTTTAGAAGTAAACACAGTGGCTGAAGGGACCCACCCGCGCCGGGAGGGGATATGTCTTCACAAGTCTTCCCTCAACAGGCCACCCAGGCCACAAATAGGAAGAATACGCGCATTTTTTTTTCCAACCTACTTGTCCTTCTGGGCTGTGTTATATATATTTTCTCCGACGCCTTCTAAGTCAAACTGATCGGCATTGGTTCTAACCTGCGGTGATGAGTACACATCGGGGAGTGGAAGCAGTGTGATAGGGATAACGCAGTTGTGACTTGCAGCTCAGTGGAAGAGCGTCCATATGTGGGAATCAATACATACTCTACGGAACATGCGCAATACACGCACTACAAACACTACGCTCAATGTACTCACTGCGGGAATGGTTCCCCGTGCGCCTTACCCGTCGCCTTACCCGTCGCCTCCCCTTGGGCACATATCTCGTAACGTACAAATTGGACCCCTTGACTGGCCTTAAGCTGAACGAGTGCTTCCGTATCATTTTCTTCCCAGACAAATGTAGGTTCCGCTCATTCTGTTCCCGCAGCAGTTGCAAGTCCACCACTTCTCCCTTCAGGTAATCGCATAGAGTGTCTTCGTAGTAGTGCATGTAGCGGTCCTTCCAGTAAAAGTACAGCCTTTAAAAAAAAAAAAAAGTCATATTTATGTGGGCTTATGAAGACAGAGATGTAGGGCCCATAACACTACCATCACGACGGTGGCGCGTTTGTGGGACTACACGGTCAGAAACACACATGAAGCCCTCCAAACAGTACGTGCGAGTCCACTTGCGGAAGACAGATCGGGGAAACAACAAATTATATTCGACCTCTTGGTCATCTTCTATATACGTTTCATCCACCTCCCCCGTGTCCTCATAATTGGCATAAACGTTACTGGAGTAGTCGATGCCCAGATTGTCCAGCAACTTTTTTCGACTCATTATTAACTTCCTCTTGGCGACTCTTGATGCGTACATCATGATGCTGTTTTTATTTTCTTCCCATTTTCTCAAATGTTCCTCCTTCTCATTTTTGAAATTTAAAAAAAGAGCATCCAGGGTATTCCAGTCTACTCCATAACTGGAGCTGTAACACCACAGATTCTGCAGCCTCCTTTTATTTACTTCGATATGTTTCTTGTTCATGTCAAAGGTGTCGCTCTCTTCGTCCTTCTGCCTTTCCAGTAGGAATGGCTGCAGTCGGTGGTTGTAGACTAACGGGTTTGGCCACAACACGTTTCGGTCCGGGTAGTTGAATTTTTTGAAATTCGAATTGAGGTAATACATTTCGGAGTTGCCTTGGCCCGCTGCCCCCCCCGAGTCTGCCGCTTCCCCCCCCTGCAACATCTCACCGATGACGTTCTGGACATCTCGCTTGTTCAGGTTCCTCGGGCTGGAGCATTTTATTTTTATCTTCACGTCCATGTGCTCCTTTCTGATGAACCTGCGGAGCTCGTGCGGGCAGTCCTGCGTGTCCCCGTGGTCGTCGTAGATTTCGTAGAAGGACTTGGCGTGCTGGTCAACGTGGTCATGCTGGTCGTTTTGCTCCTCGTCTTGCTCCTCGTCTTGCTCGTCCTCCTGCTCTTCGTCCTTCCCCTTTTTGGGATTGTCCTGACTCTTACGCTGGCCCCCCTTCTCACCGTTACTGCAGACGTTCGCATTGCACATCACCTCCACATCCCCTATCGCACCTCGATCTGCGCTTTCCCCCTTCTGACAGGCCCCTATACCACGTGCGCTGTCTTCCGTTCCACCAACGCTGGAGAAGTGTGCTGCCCCCCTGCATGTCACTTCCCCGGGGGCTCTAAACGAAGTCGGTGACCGCGGTTTGATTGACCTGACTAGCCCGCTTGTCCCGTTTGACCCGGCTGTCCCGCCTGTACCGCTTAACCTGGTCACTGCCTTTTCTCCCCTGCCTCTGGAAAATTCTCGAAAGCGCCCCTCGTGGAATTTACCCCCCACCTTCCTCCCCACAAGCTGTACATTCGCTCTGCTCCTTTTTTCACAAAAGGGGAAACATTTTTCACTTTTAAAAAAACAGAAAAAAATCCATTTCCTTAAATTATTCATTTAAAGCAATTTTACGTTTGATTAAAAGAAAGAACGCCAAAGTGGACTTTGCAAAAATGAACACCTGAGTTGACTTCCCTCATCAGTCCTCTTCGCACAAGATGGGAAAAGCTACAATTGAGGAGTGGCGTGAGGAACGCTACACAAGTGTGACGGTTGCTAAAAATAACGCGATAAGGTGCTGATTTGGATGCACGTCATTACATACTACCACATGCTTACGTAGATTGGTGCCCCCCTTTCTTTTTTTTTTTAAGTTCCGACCCGTGGAAGCAACAAAGTGTGCGACTGGTTGGTCTTCCTAGGGATGGAGATGGGAGCCATCTCCGCTGCCAGAAAATTTACCCTTCCAGTGGGAGGCACATTCTGCGTCAATGGCAAATAGGGCCATAAAAAGGGGATCCAAAATGAGAGAAGCACCAACGGATGTTGAAGCGTGAAGAGTCATTGCTAGAAAAGAAGCCAAGGAGGTACTGCCCTACATGTGCAAATTTCTTTTTCTTTTTCAAAGCGAGTTACGATGGCCCCAAACAACCACTAAGAGCATTCACAAAGGGTTGCAAAACGGGACAAGTCCTCTACAACGTCATTTTTGTGGGGCTCCCTAGGCGAAACGGTCACTTGTTTTTTGCGCCCTCGTCTGCTGCCAAATGGTGGGAAAAAAAAACAGCCACGGGGAGGGGCGGCGAAATGTTCTTAAATGGGGGAATATTTTAATAAGGCACCAAACGGAAGTTCTTTTTTTTTTTTTTTTTTTCCAAAATGAAAATGCATTTGTATGAGCTTCGCTGTGGCAAATGCTCACGGGTTGGTATTAAAAAGGGGGGAATCATTTCAGGGGGCCAGAAGGGGAGCCCAAAAGTGGGCCAATTGGGTAGGTAAAGGGAAGCCAAATGTGTGTGCTAAAAATGTGAGCAAAATGGGTGGCCCCCCAAACGGGACGCGAGACAGACTGTCCTTTGCTTCTGCGTATGTGCGTCCCATGGAGGGGGAGAAACCCTTGGGAGGGAAATAAGTACGTAAAAAAAAAAAAAAAAAGAAACAGGGCCACGAAACGGGCGCGTGCACGAACTGATGTCCGAATGAGCACGTTCAAATAAGCATGTGCGTGCCGTCTGCCTAAGCGCTCCTGGGCTCCCCTAACAACGCTGAACGGACTTCCTCTTCTTCACATTAGTAACATTCTTGGGGCAGTAGGGAAGCAAAAATAAAATGTTTTTTTGTTTCATTTCGGGCTGTGTTTTATCAGCGTTGTTATTAACACAATCGGCGACGTTCGGAGGGAACAGATCACTGCTGCCTACATGGTTGGTGCCTGCCTCGGTGGCACCACTACCTACGACGTGCATGCTCTCGTTGGCTGCCTTCTCACTTTTCACATTGTTACAACTATACAGGGTGCTGTTGCTACTTAGGTGTACGTTACTTCCTAATGTGTCCTTCCCATTGGGGAAGCTATACACATCACCCGTTGTGGTGGCGTTTCTATCCTTCTCCGTTTCTTCTTTTTTTACATTACCTGATTCGGAGTCGGATTTGTGGTGGAAGAAGTTGGGGCTAGGGTTGTCCTCCTCTTCCTCGGTGTCGAAGGGGTCTTTCGCACCCATGCCGTCGGTTGCTTCTCCGCTCTCCTCCTCGTTATGGTTCCCCTTATGGGTATCCCCGTGATTGGCCTCCTCGTCCTGCTTCTCGCTTTTGGGTTCCTTTTCCGCCTTCGGCTTCTTATTCTGCTTGGAGTTGAGTTTCGTGGTGCTGTCGTTCGACGCCTCCCTTTTCTTTCCCTTCCTCTTTGGCTTCATCTCCTTCTGACTTTGACTTTCCTCAATCACCAGTTTGGTGCTTTTCTTCGTGCAGGCGGTAAAAAAGTTGTCCAGGCGTCTCTGAGTGGTTACTTTCCTGGCCTTCAACAATCTGTTAATATAATTGGTAACCCTAACTTCGTTAAAATTGTAGTCCTTGATTAGGAAGTTTTTTAATTCTTCAATTTTGGGTTCAGCCCAGTCAATTTTAACCTCCTCTTTGGATAGAACTTTAGGGTTAATAAAAGAATCCCTAGCTTCTACAAAGCGGAAGTTAGAAGGAACTTGGTACTTATTCTTGTCAATGTTTTCTATAATTTTCTCAATGCTATTATATTCCTTTATGAGATTGTAAGCCGTCTTGGACCCGATTCCTTTGATGGTATCACAATAGTCGCAGCCACACAAAATGCAAAAATCGATAAACTCGTTCATGCTTAAGTTTAATCCTTTTAATACTTGTTCCAGGTTAATTTCGGTAAGTATGTATCCTCTTTTGCTAGAGTTTTTATTTTTATTCTGATTGGCTGATGACGCATTGGCATTTAAATTTCGAATTAGGATCTTGGTTCCGAACACTAAGGCGTCTGCGTCTTCCGTGGCTGTTGCGTGTGCTAAATTGTACTTGGTTAAGAATGCACACTGCGATTCCGCTTCGCATGGGGCTTCCACAACTGGGATTCCCATTAGTGTTAATAATTTCTTCGCTTCTTCATTTTGCTTTCTCGTAACCCTTACTGTCCTTCCACTTTGTTTCTTAATTTCTTCTAAATTTCCTTCCTCTTTAGCTTTCTTTAATAATTCTTCTGCCTTTTGTCTTTTCTCTCCTCTTTTTTCTAACTCGGATCCTTTCAGCTCAGGGGGGGCTCCGTCAAACACGTAGATCGGCTTCAAACCATTCTCCATTAACTTTATGCTTCTCGACATGAGCCCCGATATGTGCGAAGTGGTCTCCCCCGACTCGTTCGTCAAATTTCCATATTGCTCAGAGTCCCTTATGGCTATTATAAATTGGTACAAAGACATGGACGCATCGATGGCGACCACTCTCCCCATCAGGTTCTCAATTTTTATCTCCTTAATCGCGTTGGGCGCTGCGTCGGCGATGAACTTGGTCAGGCCTTTAATTCCCATCTGGTCGCGGAGGGGAAAATGGTCAATGAAAGGTGCTGGTTAAAATGGTCGGTGAAGAGCCTCGGTGAAAATCGTTGGAGAAAGTGGGTGGACCGCCTTGATTTTCTTTGCTCTACACGGGGTTGCGGCTCAGGCAGGGGTTACACAACACTGGCCGCCTCGCTCGTGCGTTGTATTCTCGTGGATAATCACTTAGCACGTTTTCCTTCTTTTGCAAAATGTTCAACGCTGGGCTGCTCTTCGCTGAGATGCCCCATATTTCACGACGCGTCGCGACTCGCCGACGCCTCGGCAGTTTCAATTTCTTCCACCACGCGTTTATTTCAACTCTGCTTTGGAGAACGAAAGAAAACGAAAATGTTCGATATCGCGCCGACGTTAAAAAAGGGAATATATTGCATCGTTTTTTTTTCCCACACTTGCGTTACATTTTTTTTATTTCGTTTTGCATTTTCTCCAGCGTTGACGGAAAAAGGGGAAGAAAAAAAAAAAAAAAGGAAAATATATATATACTTTTGGAGACTTAAAAATGTAGCAAAACACTGCGCACGCTTCGAACTCCCCTCCCCCCATTGAATCAATTACTGCAAAACTTTTGACGGTAAAAAAAAAAAAAAATGTGTATGTTTTTATTCCTCAACTTTCTCGCAAGAAAGCGTTCCGAAAATGCGTAACAAGTAGGGACGAATGTGTGACTACACAAATGTGCAAGTATACCTCCTTGCGTACACACCATGTGGGGTTCGAAATATAACGCGGCAGGGCGATGGGAAGCAGGGAAAAGTGTCACATCCTTTTTTTTCTTTCGGTCCTCCCCTCTAATGAAGCACACATAACGAAGCTATAAAAATGTAAATACTTAATCACACGCGTGCATACACACTGAAGAGACTGAACGTGTCGTGCATATCTTCACCCACTCATGTGGATCTTTTGAAGGATTTTCTCCTAAGTTATAAATTGCCACTTGTCTATATGGCAAGATCGGCATTTATTTACGCGTTTTTTTTTTTTTTCTTAGTCCAAAATTGTGAAAAAAAATAAAAAAAAAAGAGAGAAGAGGAAAAATGTATAGTGACCACATACTCGGCTCATTAGACATATTGTATATTTTCCCCATTTGGGCAGATAATTCGTTTGAAAAAAATTAGTCATATGTGGGGTGAGAGAGAGAAAGCAAAAAGAAAAGCGGCCATTTGTCACTTAACAAGTGTGTCATGCGGCGAATAGAAGCACTTTTTGTTTGTTCCCCCCACGATTCTGTTATCTTTCGAATTCTTCTTTTTTGGCGTGTTTTTCATTTACGCCACTGTAAGATGTATCTACCGTCTAATGCTTCATTTTTATCCTTACGCAGATTCTGCTTTGTCAAAATGAGAAGCATTCCCCAAAGAGTGGTCTTCCGTTTTATGCTCACGTCAGTCTTAACGGTAACACTAATTTTTGTTTCCACGTTGGTTTTTCTTTTCCTTCCTGAATGAACCAAATGCACATCTTTAACTGAGCCAAAAAGGAGAAGGTCGTAGTTGGAGTGACACACTAGGTGTACATATTCACTGTAAACCGAATGGACTTGTAAGAAGAAAAAAAAAAAAAAAAAAAATATTCCTTTGGGTTTTCCCCTTTTTTTATCACCTCGCCTTGTTCGAATGAAATTTTTTTAAATGCATTAGCTAGAGTGAAGTTAGTGAAGTGATCCATGAGTTTTTCTTCCAATACGGGAAAAAAAGTAACCATGCGAACTGCTAACTGGGGGTAGTGTTCGCCATTTTTGGTGCATAAAGGAGGGGTAGCGCCAGTGTGTCATCCTAATGTAGGGACAAATTGGACAAAGAAAAGGGCCAAGAAGTGGACACTTAGATGTACATAAACATATATATTACTCGTGCGTGCGCGTGTGCCCCCTTTTTAAGGCGTCTCCCCCTTGCCAGAAAAGCACCAAGTGGGTTCTTCCTTTTTATTTTTTCACACACAAAAACGCCCGGAGGTGTGGCATCATTTCGCTGTGCAAAGTGAGGAGAGAAGAACTGGCGATTCGGTAGCCACTTGAACCCTTCCTTCGTTTTTAAAAATATTTTTCATAAATGGTTCTTTTTCATAAATGGTTCTTTTTCATAAATGGTTCCTTTTCATAAATGGTTCTTTTTCATAAAGCGATCCTTTTCATAAATCCTTCTTTTCTGTAAATGCACACTTGAAAAAAAAGAAGCATGCACGAAATTTTCACAAAAAGGGGACTCAACTGACGAGTCTTTAACAGCCATGCTGAGGTGTTGGCTGTCAAAATGGGTCAGCATTTTCTGTTAAAAATGTGTTCTATACGCCAGGCTTCCTTTTTGCTAGGAGGCTTTTCCCTTTCACAGGTGAACTCTCTTCAAGTGAGCTGCTTGCCAAAATGGGCGACTAAAAACTGCTGGTGTAATTTTCACACTCTCCATTTTAGCAGCAACAACGGAAAATAATGCATGTACGCATGGCAAAAAAAAATGGCCAACACACAGACTGACATTTTGCCAGGAAGTGTTCCATAAGACAGGAAGAACAATTGCTATAACAAAATGTGCTTAATGCTCCCTCGTTTTAATAGAATGCAAATAAAAAAATGAATCCCTTTCTTAGTTGTTCTGCATACACATGCTTTGGTGTTGGAAAGA